GACTTGGGGAATGGGTTGGTCTTGCCTCCCCTGCCATATTTTGGGTATAGTGGTGACCTGCCTTTGGATGGTGTCTTGGCTTTTGGCTTCGTTGGCTGAAAAGGGATTAAATGTTGAACTTTCCCTCAATAATTTCTATTAATGTACAAAGTTGTATAATAATTAAACAGTTAGCACTGTCCTGATACTAAATAAGTGTATAAATCAATGTACTTACTCTACTCTTTGCCTTGAGTTCCTCTTCAGGATTGTCCTGAGACGAAACCTACAAAAACAAGAATCTTGTTCAAACAAGAGCACAGGTAAATATGTAGATTTATTTCCGTAAGGACGAAGAAACAAATTTTATTTTCTCATCTATTTACTAGGGCGATGAAGAATCAAATTATCAGTATATAATGAACTAATTACCATTGTAGTAACTAGGAGAATGGTGACGAAGAGGAGGAGGAACGCCTTGAGAGCCATTGATTGTAAGCAGCAGGTGGAATACCAAGAGGAATTAATGTAGTAGAAAAGTCGAAGAGCTATAGGAAGGCAGATGATGTTTGTAGGAGAACTAGGATGGGGGTATAAATAGTGATAAAAAGGGCGGAGAGAGAAATTTTTACACGCTTAGAATACCACTATTTCCCTAAGCATACCACTGGTGCTGTTCCTCATAATCTTATACATGCATGTGGGAACACATGCCTTGCAAAGAACCTTAGTCAAAATTAATTCAAATAAAATGCCGTTAAAGTTATTATAAAAAGAAAAAGAAAATATATGGACCTACAAAGAAAGATCCATCCATTTTTGTTTTGGTAGGTGCTTGGCTATTAACACAGGCGAAAAGGCCCATCGTGCATGAGGAAATGTTGGGGCCCACCCTGCATGAAGGAAATATTAGGGCCCACCTATTAATATTATTAGGTCGCAATGCTACTAGGCTATGCTTTGAGGCCCACATCTTCAAGCCCTTGGATTCTCCTCACTTTGGCATTTATGATTGTTTTTTTAGGAAGCCAATGACCAAATTACAAGGAAAACCCCGTGGGATTTCATCAAGACTGAGCATCGAGGAGAATATTTACACATCACATTCACATATGAGGGAAAATTGGAGAACAAAAGTTCAGGGGAATCGCATATGAAGGA